AGCAAGCGGGTAGAAATAAGCAACTTCCGTTGGGGCAGAAATAAGCTCCGGTTGACTTTGGGTGATGACGTCACTTCCGCCGCACCAATCCCGGCTTATACTACTGGCGAGCTTCTGTTTGTTTTCTATCACTTGCGAAGTGAACTTTTCTTTAGAAACATAATAAATGTTTCTTTTTTATAATAGATATCTGTTAACTGTTTAATTAAAGCAGCTAAGCTGAAAGTTCTAACTTAGCTTTTAACAGTATTATTTATCAATGAATAAGAGTATAAGTTTTAAAATGGTTTGACTGGAAAAGTAAAAAGAAGAAAATTGCTCAATTTGTTAAAGGGTAAAGTTTAACTAAGTTTATTGCTGTAATAACTGAAACTGATCTCCAATATTGATCGTATCAATAGTACGATGTAAAGAATATGCAGATAACATTGAACTAATACTTAGTACTATGATAAGGAGAAAATTTTCTATAAGTTTAATAGTGTTAAAGCGAACCATATTTCCGTTCCAGCTTCATCCTAGTACCGAGTAATTAAGTTGAAAAAATATTTATTTGTACTATAATGGATAATAGAATTTATTAGTCACTATGGTTCAATGCGATTTGAATAAGTTCAATTTATTTAATTTCATTTGAATACTTAATATTTATGAAATCATCAGAAATATATTTTGTTCAATACATATTTTAAACTATTTTTTCTCTTGCTATCATTATGCTGACATTTCTATTATGCATAAATATTTAATTAATTGAGACTAATTTTCAAACTTATTATAATTAGCTAATTTTCAAGCATATCATACAATCAATTTCTGTTTGGCTTTAATAATGATAAAAGGAACAGAACTCCTTATAAAGTAGGAGTTGTTGATTACACCAAATTTTTAAATTTGCTTATCTAAATTTTAAGTTATACTTGTAAATTTAAATGTTTCTTCATATTATTGGAAAGTAAACGTTTTAAAAATAAATAAAATAATCTTCTAAATAAAATAAATACTCAATCATAAGAAAATATTCTTACTAGTTTTTGTTTTACAATTAAGATGAATTATTTTTTATTTGCATTTATATCTCTCCCTTTGAACAAAAAATTTTTCATTTCTGATTCTCTCTCTTGTAATTTCTACATAATTTTTTTTTTGAAAATTTCATCAGTGTTTGTTAATTTTGTCCTGAGACTGCGCCTTATTGTTGGTGTTGTTTTATAGTTTGCTTTATAGTTTTTTTTTCAGGCTGCAACGCTCATTTGTTGCCGAATTCTATAGAAATTTAATTTACCCTGAATAATTTCTTAGATCAACAATATTCGATTTTCAATATGCTAGAATCATAGCCAAAGTTAACCGAATAATTAAAATTCTACTTAATTTTAAGATTCGATAATTACGTTTAAAATATGCATACATTAACGAAAAGTAATTAATTTATTTGCACTCTTCTGTGCTAAATACAGCGTGGAACATGATTCGGAGTCCATATTCCATGTCTGCATGTGTATTTGTCGGCAGCAATGCCAGAGAATTTCTTTGGTTCAATACACTTTATGGTGCATTCCTTTTGCTTGTTTATTCTAGAGCACACCCAGCTGATGTTTGGATCATTTGTCAGCTTTCTTACGTCACACTTGGAGCTACCTGTAAAGCACACAATTATTAGAAATAGTATTTTTAAAAACAAGATATATCGGACAAAACTTTATTATTAATTCGATAAAAAAAAAAAAAACATGTCATTCTCTACATGGTATATAAATCTTTATAGCTATAGGTTAATTTATCCTTGCGACTAGTACTACAGGTGTGCCAACTATTCTATTGGAGCTAAATTGCTCAACCTAGAAACTGGCTAAATCGTTATTGTTTGTCAGAGTATGAATATTTTGAAAACGTATAATAAGCTGGACTGAAAATTATTTTTATAACTGTTATAGTAGTTAAGTATGACTTTAAGTTTGACTAATAAATAGGTATGGCTTTGAAACCAAGAGAGCAAACTTGTCTGCTCAATCGCCATGAATTAATCAACAAGCCAATATGGTAGGTCCTTCTTTTTGACTGGTAAAGAGTAATTTAATGTTTGTCCACTAAAAAAAACCAAGCTAAATTGTCTGCTAAAAGACAAAAAGGAATTAGAGAAAAGATAGAGATTTACAAAGAAAACAAGAAAAGATGGATGTATTTTTAAAGAGAAAAAAAATTATTAATAAATAAAAATTTTTAAAAATATTAAAACATTTTAAAAATTTTTTAAAAAAATAAGATGTTGGAAAACAAAATAAGGGAAATAAATAGTATCGTCATTTCTATTTTTTTGGTGATATTGTATTAACATATTTTGCTATGGCTATATTAATACATGATTAGAAAGCACTGTATTTTGCGGATATAATCGCGTGAACTGATGACGATATTGTATATTTTCCTTATTTCGTTTTACAATTTTCTTTTTAAATTTTTTAATGTTTTGTTTAAAAAATTTATTCGAATTTAAATTTTTTCTTCTCCTTTTTAAAAATATTTTTTCTAATTTTCTTTATATTTAAATATATACTAGCTGAATACCCGTTCTTCGCACGGGGAGAGTAAAAAAAAATCAATAAGAAATCAGTATTGAGAAACACTACGAAATCATGCTTAAAACGGAAAAACATATATCGATCCAATTAAAAAACTTGGTGGTAGAAACAGATAAGTGAAATATTAAGAGGAATTAATGAATCAGGGATAATAAAAAAAAGTGGTTGTATCAATACGGGTATGTTTAATGTTACAGAACTGTTTTTGCCTTCATTCAAATCTTAACATAACTAATTACATCAGTTTTCAGCATGTTTGCGTGATTTTTATTTCAAATTAGGCAGGGGTAAATAATAAAAAACAAAGAAATATTTGTCCTCTCTTTCTAATAAATTGGTAATAAAATAGTTCGGATGCAACTTTTTTTTAGTTCTGAAAATGTAACTTACCTGGTTCTTCCACTAAGTTTTCCAATTAATATAGTTAAAATAATTGCAATTTTTTATTTAATATTATCTGTTCCCCCTTTTGGTGGCTCTGCGTTATTGAAATAAGAAAAAGCCATTTTTTGTAGTTTATTCCATTAGAACAAAGATAAAATGTATTTAGTATCACTTCGCATGAAGCTATTGCACTTCCAAGTAATTTTCTAAGGTACATATCCCTTTCGAGGTCCGTAAAACGCTTATTTCCAAAGTATCAGTATGTACTACTAAGTATTGGTGCTGTCTTAATAATCACCAAATATATCAATATGACATTTTATACCTTTATTAGTGTATTTGGAACATATTATATAACCCTTCAACATTTAACTTTTGTGAAAAATATATTTATCAGTGACAGCCAACAGAAGCTGAATTTTTTAAAAAAAACCCGAATTCTTATCAGAACTTGATAAGATTTTTAGAGCGTGGTCATTTCTCTATCTCATCTTTAATTTACTAATTAAATATTTATAAGTAGTAAAGAAACAAAATTCTTCATATTCTAATCCATTAAAATATGAATACACTATCTTGGCTACCAGGGAAAAAAATAATTTCTGAAATCACAAAAAACCCGTTGTAGAATTCTTATCAAAACTGCACTAATTACCATTATACCAGTAGAACATATTAACGTCAGTAGTGCACAATAAGTAAGCGTCATCCGTAAATGGCGATTTTCTACGGTTTTCCTAAACAAATTTCCTATTAACCTTATTTTACTTTAAATTCGCTTTTAGCACATAACTTAATAAGTTTCATTCAATTAATTCATATTATCACTAGTACTTAAGCATAAGTGTCAATAATACTATCCTGATTTTTTACGGCTCCCCGAAATGAATAAGTATATAGTAACCATTATTTTTGTCTTTAGTACATAAATTTATTTTGCATAAATTAACATACTACTAACATTAAAAAATTAAGCATCATTGTCGTTAATAATAATATGATGATTTCTGATGGTTCTTCTAGATAAATATCTTTACTCCACTACTTTTGCGTTCTGATACATAGTTAATTTATTTTTTATTTCGATATGCATATATTACCTGAATTAAGTGAACCAAATATATCATCACGAAATATATCAATGTAATATTTCATACCTAAGTATGTTTGGTACTTATTACATTATCCTTCAACACTTAAGTTTATACATACTTGTCAGTAGCAGCCAAATAAAGCCGAAATTTTAGAAAACAATATATTAGAACCTAATAAGGATTTTGGAACGTGACCATTTCTCTATTTGACCTTTATTTTACTGTTAAAATATTTATAAGTAGTGGTAGAAAAAATTTCTTTTAATTCTAATTCCTTAAAATATTAATACACTATCTTAGCTACCACTGGAAGAAATATTTTCTGAAACTACGGAAAACCCGTTGTTGAATTCTTATATCAAAACCAATTCCCCAATCACCATAATACCAGTAGTTCATATTACAGTCAGTGATACATATGAATTAAGTGTCCTCTGTGAATGGCGATTTTCTACGGTTTTCTTAAACGAATTTCCAATTAATCTTTATTCCATGAGCTGGGCTTTTTAGAACATAGCCTATTTTATTTCAATTAATACACATTATCAATATTAATTAAGCATTGCGCATTAGTGTCGATAATAATACTTAGATTTTTTTACTGTTACCCAAAACGCGAATAAGTATCTTTTCCATTTATTTTTGCTTTTTGCGCAGAGGTTGCTTTTTTTATTTCAATTATACCAACATTAATTAAGCATAATTGTCACCAATAATAGTTAGACGACTTCTAACGGTTCTTCTAGACAAATAAATACCTTTACTCAATTTCTTTTTCTTTCTAATACATAGCTTATTTCTTTTATTTCAATATGGATATATTATCTTACTTAATTAAACATCATTGACGAAATTATGCCTCATTGGCAACGAGTTTTTATAATTTTCCTAAACGAATTAGTAGCATTTTCCCGTTAATTTTTACATTTGATTACATAAATATTTTGTTTCTATTCAATTATAGTTGGTTTTAAAAAAGTAATTTTAGCGTAATAAAACATAGATTTTTTGTATAGGAATGTTTCTGTTTTCGTACGTCGAGAAGCCGGCCGCATAGGCCATTTTCCTTTTAGCAACCCAGTACAAAGTAGCCTTTATGTGGAAGTAATAAATAATCAAAGAATTAGTAATGTCGCTTAGGGATGGGCAAACTGTCAATTAATTAAATCTCACAGTCTCTCCCGAGGAACACAGAGGGCAGACAGGAGAGTCAGAAAAGAATGGTGAAGTTTATTATCGGGTTAGTCATATCCATTAAAAATTCTGAAACTAACAGAAAAAATCTGTCGGGTGAGGTCTATGTGGATGAGATCAAGAATAAGGCTGAACAAGAAAACCAGCAGTTTTTTTTAACCCTGACAATGATGGAAGAAATTCGATTGTAAGGAAGGGCAAAAGGAGGCTCTGAACGTGGTCAGAAGTATTGTTTGACCAACTGGTTCACCATCTAGTTTCTAAATACATTGCAATGACTGGCAATCCACTGGAACAAAATCCCCCAAGCATGGTTGATAGAGCCACGATGGCTCAGGGGATGGAGCGTTCGCCCTCCAATAAGGCGAACCGGGTTCGAATCCCAGACGATACGAATTCCGCATCCGGTTTGCACCGACCACAGTGCTGACGTGAAATATCCTCAGTGATGAACGGATCATGGGTTAGAGTCCCTTTGCCTTCAAGCTAACAGTAGGAGGTTCTCGTGGTCTTCCTCTCCATGCAAGGCAAAAGCTCGTTAGCTCCATCGAAAAATCCTCCGCGAAAGCAAATTTCTCCCAATTCTTGACCCAGGAGTTCCCTTGTCTTCTCGATTGGGTTCAAAATTATAAGGCTACGAACATTAGGCTAGTTGAACATTAGTAGTTGTAAACCCATAAAATTGGGTCGGCTGTTCAACGACGGTGATAAAATAAAATAAAATCATGGAATCTTAGTTTCGATTTCTCTACTCGTTTTGACTTGGAGTTCAATATCTGACTGCTTAATTGTCTTTATTAAAGCTTAAAGGTTTGTGGCATTTACACCAACTGGGCACGAGCCTTCGAACAAGTTTTCACAATAGAAGCTTGCTGCTGGTGAGCATTTGTATAGACTGCAGAGTCCAGATTAATGTGTTATCGCACAAATTCAAAAATACACGGGGAAGAATTTATTTATAAAATAAATGCGAAATGCTTCTTTGCAGTAATGACGTAATCAAAATAAATATTAAAAATTCGTTCGTAATTTTATGTTCCAGCATGATCATGCATCAGCCCATTACGACCTGTTTGTTGATCAAGAGTTAATCGGATGTTAATTTTGGAGCGTGATGGATTGACGAAATGGACCATTCCAATGTTCATCCCGTTAGCCAGATTTACCCAGCTTGGGTTTCTTTTTATTGGGGGCATTTATAGAGTGTCATTTACGAGACTTCCGTTGACTCAATCAAAGATCTCGTCGCACGAATATGCTTTTTTTTAAAATGTTCACCAATCTCTTTCACGGCGTTAGTAAATATGCATTACGGTCGCAATTATGAACATCTATTCTGAATATTGTATTCCTGAAAAGAAGGACTTGTATTTTTTCTCCAGTAACAGTTCTTTCGCTCGTGTCTTAACAAGATACTTTATTTCTATATAAAAAAACATAAGATTTAGTTCCCACAATCACCCTTCCAAGTTGTCGTTGAATGACTTTGCATAAACATCTTTGTAAAAGTCGCATTTGCCAATATAAGAATAAAATTAAATACATTACCTACTGAGTTTCTTCTGGAATTTCTAAATCGTCTTCCCTTGAGTTCTTGATTTCTAATTGTAGAAAGGGACCCTGCAGGAATTGAAGCAGAGTTATGAGGGTCTGCTTTGTGGGTATAAAGACCAGATTCACTAAAAATACGTTGTTGCTCTTTAGGAACATCCTTGAGGATAGTTTCGTATGGGTTCTTAAAAGTACTTCCATATGGTTTCCCGTAAGTACTTCTATATTTGTGTGAATCAAAGCTCCCAAGATTCAAGTTATTTATCCTCTCAAGCGGCTCAAGTATCTCTCGCTGTTTCTCATGAAGTATATCCCAGTCTATTTGTGGACGACTGTTCTGCATGTAATTACTATTGAAGTCAAAGCCACTGCTACTGGGCTGTCGATAGTTAAATTTTTCACTATTGCTATTACCATTGAAATTGTGCCCTATACGGACTGCATGGTTGTTGTTATCAGTTCCATGAATTGTACTACTTGATCCGTAATTGCCAGTACCGCTGCTTGTTCCGGAGCTGCTAATACTTCTTGATCCATAATTACCTGTGCCCCTGCTTGTTGCAAAGCTGCTACTACTTCCTGATCTATAATTACCAGTACCCCTGCTTGTTCCAGAGCTGCTACTACTTCTTGATCCATGGCTTCCGTAACCTCCTCCTCCAAATCCCCCACTGCTTCCTCTTCTACCTCCTCCTCTTCCACCTCCTCCTCTCCCACCTCCTCTTCCGAATCTATAAAAATTCATCAGAACGTAAAGACGGATTGTGGTTAGGCTATGTTTTGAGATGCCCCTTGGATTATTGGCAAGTTGGCCCTCAAGTTGAGCAATATAGTTTCATGTATGGGTAACCTGTACAGAAACCTCTAAATAAGGTAAGTGAATGTTTTCTTATCTTACTGCACACATATATGAGGCAACACGCATTACCTTCTATACGTTATTTCCTCGAAAAGTTTTTCCTTGTTCAGTATATTAATTTAAATTCGCTTTATTTGGTTTTTAATTTTGCTTATAATGTTTCGATTTCGGAGCTATTTTATTTGGTGGAGTGTTGCACTCAATTAGCGCCAAAAAAATGCAAATTTTCGTCAAAGGGTACCTCAAAATATATTTTTGCCACGACTGGCTATAAAATTGAGCCTTTTCAGTGGCAACTATAATATGACTTAACAGTCAACATGGCACTAAATTCGTTAAAGAAAATAAGGACGATGTTCGAAGTGAACAGACGGATTTTCTTTCGAGTAAAGGAGCGGAGCTATTCAAACAAGCAAACCCAAAAATCTCATTAAACTCGACAATACTATAAATTCGGGACAGTCCATGAAGCAATGACACCACCTGAAATTGTTGGCTAAAACCAGTAGTTGGCAGTAATCGAAATAAAGTGGAAAATTGGAAATAAAGTGAAATCGTATCCGTAACAAATCGGTGACGATAGCTGCCAGTAGCCTAAGTTAATGATTACATCATTGAGTATCTTCACTTAATCGGCATCTTTTTTTCACCTTTTTTTTGTCCCTTATGCTATCTTTGGGAACCTATTAATAGAACGAATCTGCTTTGCTGTGAAACACTTATTGGCTACGATTTAGATACTAGTCGATATTGGCGAGGAAGAATAAAATCTTTAGCTAATGATTTCGATCTCTTTTTACTGTAGTTCATTGCTGTTTTGCTTTACTTTTCTGCATTATTTTATTTTCTCTTTTGTGCTGCCTTAAAATTGGAAATGAATAAATATATAATAATAATAATTTTAAAAAAAATGAAGAAGAATTTGGAAAAAATATTTCGCGAAAAAATTTAGTTCCATTTAGTTTTACCAATACGAAGAATCACATATGAATTTTACATCGAATAAACTTAAAATGTTTGAATGGTTACTCTAATAATAAAACGCACAATGCAAACTGAAAAATTTCGGGACAGTGGGAAAATCGATACTGGTGTTTGCCAATATATCAGTGGCTATTTCAATAAATTATTTATCTTATTTTTTTTCTTCATTTTATTTGATTTGTGTATTTTTTTATATATAACCATTTTCCATTTTTAAGCATTTTCATGCTACTTTTTCGCATTCATTTTTACCCACCAAAGCTCAAAATTTTCCTTGTAAAAGAGTTTGGAACTAAAATTGTTTTTTGAGTAATCTCTTTTACCATATCGACCTTTGGCTCTTTATCCAAATTGGTGTCATTTCGACCAAGTTCCAAATTCAACTGAGAAGACTCAGTATAAGTAAAAACATCATATAAAAAGAATTGATGAATAAGTATTTCCTATGCTGAAAGTTTGCTGAAAGAATCACTTAAATCAATTCTTTGCATGTTAAAAATGAATCGATCGTTTTACATTATTTTCTATAAAATGTCTCATGTAGTTATGGAAAGATTTTTTATGTACAATCTTTTAATACAGCAATTGTTTTTCATACTCATTGTTAATATTTTGTATTTGATTGCGT